GCACCAACATCTATAATCTCAGCACAAGGCGGAGGGAGCTCAGTTCTTAGCTGGCTTAGCCAAACTGGTGAGCTCCAGGTTCCAGGGGAGTCCCTCCGCCTAAACAAGTAAACAAAGTGGAGCGGTGGCTAAAGAAAATAAAAGGATGTCAACCTTTGGAAAGTACTCACATACCACATATATCCGAGAAAGAGAGAGAGATCACATAAACTACAACCTGAAAGCCAGTAGCCCTGGTATCGTGCCCACTATCATCTTATTGTCTTTGGTCTTCCTTTCTCAAGAGTGCTCTGCAAAATTAAAACCTCACTAAGGGATTCACAGATGCATCTCGGTATTAGAAAGCGTGCCAAGTACTATGTGAGGCCCTGGGTTAGATCACCAACGCCAGAACAATAAAATTATTCTATGCTTGAAGCTGGAGGTGCCAGTAGATATTACTCCTCCTCCTCCTCTCCTTCCTCCTCCTTCTCTCCTTTGTCTCCCTCTTCTCTTTCTTCTCTTCCTCTTCCTCCTCCTTCTTCTGAGACGGGGTCTTACCGGGTAATTCTTGAGCTGGAACTCACTATGCAGACCAAGCTCGCCTCACAGAGATGCACCTGCCTCTGCCTCCCAATGTACCATACACCCAGCTCTGCCAGTAGAGAGTGAGAGATTTCAGGCTGTTGGCTCCACCCGTTTGAGTCTGTGTAAACCTCAGGCTAATTGCCTGGCAGGGCAGGCTGAAGGCTGTGTCATGACTTTGCTGGTTGTGTAACAGGAGGAGAAATTCTGGCCTTAGAATAGAGGGAAGTGAAAGAAGGGAATGTGCCCAAGGCTCCCAGAGACCTTGGCAGGCAACTGAGCTTCTTAGAAGGAAGATGCACCACCAACCACAGGCCACATCATCAACTCAGCAACACAAGTGTGCAAAGCAGTCCACTGAGGCTGAAGGGAACACTTCTTGCCCTTTCACATTGGACATGTGATATGACCGGGTGGGTGGTGGGTTTCTCGAGGACTGGTTCAGGTTTCATGTTTGACTTGTGTCATCTCTTCGGTACTTGCTAAGACAAACTCAGTCATCCCCAGCAAGGACCTTTGCAAGGCTTTCCTGCTTGGCTTATCTGCCTGCTATGAAAAGGCCCTAGGCAGAAACAAGTATCCAGAAGAGTGTCAGAAACTAAGGGTTAGCTGGCTCAGCGGGTAAATGATTGCCTCAAAAGTCTAAGGGCCTGAGTCTGATCTTCCAAAGGCATGGTGGTACACACGTGCAGTCCTGTGCTGGCAACATCCAGGTTCGGAAAGTAAGGTGGAGGGGCTGGAAGGGTGGCTCCATGGCTGAGAGCCTGCGCTGCTCTCGCAGAGGACAGTAGTTTGGGTCCTAGTGTGGGTCAGAACTACATGTAATTCCAAGTCCAGGGGGTTTGATGCTTTTGACCTCTGCAGGTACCCACACAGGCACGAACGTCCATACACACATAATTAAAGATGATAAAAATAAATCTTTTAAATTAAAAAATAACCTGAAGTGTGATTGAGGAAGATAACAAATAACCACCTCTGACCTCTACATGCACCTCCCCCCCCCACACGTGCACTAAGAGGTTTCTCTTCATCCTTCAACAATACACTCTGAAGCCCCACGAAGGAGGTCCCCCATGTTGCCTGGGTCAGCGGGCCCCTGGCAGCTTCTGCTCTTCTTGCACTTTCAGCGTTCAGCCCCTTCCTCCCCTAGAAAGCGTCAGGAGGGCTAATTATTTCCCGAAGCTGACTCAGACAGCATTTTGTCTGCCAAAGAATTCTGTTAGCTTAAGTGCACCACGGAGCAGTCTCCCCGCGATTCCTGGTGAGGGAACCTCACCAGGCGCCGTCACGGAGGAGGAGGAGCAGAGGAGGTTCACAGCCTGTGGCCTGGGGTGGGGTCCAGTATGGACCCCCCAAGGGCTGGGCTGGTTGCCAGGAAGGAGTGGCGGGAGTGGAGGAGCCGTTGCTGAGGAGTGCCTCCCACGGGATGTGTGAGAAGGCAGCCTCAGAACACTCTCACCACCAGGCTGCTTTTCAGCTAGTCCCTGTGGGGCCAGCCCTCCTCGCCTTTCATTTTGTTGATTGGAGATTGTATCCCTGAATAGAGCTTAATGTCCTTTGGAAATTATCTGCTCTCTGGCTCTCACTCGCGCTCTCTCTCTCTCTTTCTTTTTTCTTTTCAAAAATGTCTCCTGTTTTCTGCATTTGTTGTCCATTGTCACTGTGTTCCTAACTGCTGGAGGTGGACAATGGGACATCAGAGGACAGATATAAATGCTGCTGCTCTGAAGCCAAGCATGGGAAGAAGGAGGGAAGGAGGAAGTAAGAGAGGCTCTGAGGGCAGGAGGCTGGGTGAGTGTGGGATGGGTTAGGGCAATCCTGGGAGAGTAGACCGCAGAAGGGTGGGCTGGGCTGTAGAAGGGGGCGGGGCTGCAAGCTGGAAAGCTGGGAATGGCCAGAAAAAGCTGGTCAAGGGGACAGGAATGACCCAGAGCTAAAGACGCCAAGCTGAAAAAGACCCAGAAGTGGACTGGGATTTTGTCCGCTAGTTATACTAGTGCGTTTCATCTCCTGGTAGACCAGAGACTTACAATAAATTACATAATTGCAATTCTACCTGAATACTCACCTGCCCTCTACAAACAGCACAGTTTTGGCTTGTAGGTACCGGCTACGACTACAGCAACCACTACACAGAAGGACACATATCTAATCATGGTTTGCCTAATGATGAGTTCTAAGAAAGGTATCCTTAGGTGATACTGTCACACAAACAGCACAAAAGTGCCCTTACACAAACTGAGACAGTAACCACGCCAGGAGGCTACAGAGTCTCAAAGGGACCAAAACGTTGTTACATCACACATGACTATGCCACTTAATTCCTCTGTTTACCAATGAGTGATGAAAGAGTTCAAGAGGCTAGAGGACTGCCAGGCATTGTAGGGACAGAGGACTAAGAAAACTAGGTCTGGCTGAGCTAGGGCAATAACAGGGCATGGCTTCCAGCTTGTGAGTTTCTGGAACTCACTGCATAGACCAAGCTGGCCTCAAACTCACAGAGATCCATCTGCCTCTGCCCCCTATGTTTGGATTACAGGTGTGTGCCACCATCGCCTAGCCTTGTAGAAAGTTTAGCTTACTCCTAAATGGGTCCTATTCAATAGCGGAACCTGGAATTTCTAGCTAGTCAGGGTCACCTGAGCCCTGTTTGCTCAGTCTCCTGAACACACATTCCTAAGTGCTTTGTTCGGTGGTGAAGCACAAATTACAGGATCTTCTGGAGAAGCTGAAGTCTAAAGACTTACAGATGGTAGCGAATTAAAGCTTGAATTCACTTTGCTGAATTAGTGGGTCCTGCGCTGCTGTTGTGAGCCGGGGACAGTGGTGGATACAAAGCGCTTACTGAGCAATTAGTAAGGTGTGTGCTATAAGGAAGTGCCCTAGCACACAGCTTTGCCGGAGGCTCCCTTGCAAATGGAGTTGGAGCCAGCTGGGACTGTGGCCAAAAAAGCCAGAGGACCTTTCTGAGCTAATATGAGACCGCTTTTAGTGGACCAAGATGTCTCCATAATGTGGCCCGGTGGCCGATTCCTGCTGAGCTTGCAGTGATCAATACCCTCAGGTTAGGAGCTGGTTCATCCGCTGGCTTCCTGCTTCCTTCTCGGCTTTTTATCACGGCCACCACCCCACCCTCGAATCTAAAGCCAGAGACAGAGCATGGATGGATTGGAAAGTCTGCGCCTGTAGAAAGGCAGGACTGGGGAAAGGTCTCGCTCTGCCTCTGTTCAGGTACATTCACACATTCGATGTGTGGTCCCAGGCCTTGACCTTGGCAGAGAGAGGTTCTGGGCAGGGGAGCGTCCCTGGCAACTATCTCTAGGGAACCAGTCTGACTTTGTCCCTCCCTGGTTGGGTCATATCCAGGCAACTGGAGGCTGCTGCTTCTGCTCCTTCTAAGACTCTGTTTTTGTTTATTTTGGAGACTGGTTAGAAGAAAGGACTCAAACCAACTTAGCACAAAGGGCACCTCAGGGAATAGATAAGGCTTTTCTTTTTGAACACACTGGCAAAGAAAATACAATCAAAATCAGGGACAAGAAGTTCCCAGGAACCCCAACATGGCCTCGAACTCACAATCTTCCAGCCTCAGCTTCCCAAGTAGTTGGAATTATAGACAGTCTCACACCACCAGCCATGGCTAAATTACAGACATTTTTCAAGAGCCAAACATTCTCTTTTATTTTTTTGAGGGCGTGTGGGTTGTTGGTTGGGTTTTTTCCTATTTGGGAGATCATGGTCTCAATTTCAGATCTTTTGGCAAAGACAAACTATAACCAAAGAAGAGACAGAGCTGCCAAGCCATGGCTGCAGCCAGGGCCAAGGCCGGTCAGTTCTGGCAATGTACAGTTTGTCTGCTTGCCACATCCTAGGTACTCATCTTCCCATGTTCTGAGATCCACGCACTGACTGCGCAGGTCAGCCATGACTAATCGGCTCACTAGATGGAACCTGAGTTCCTTAAGGTTGAGGAGTCTAACCTGTTTTCCTTATAGCCTCAGGATCCAGAAGAGTTTGTGGCATGTCAGTCAGCTCTCAGTCAAATACCTGGTTCATCAAATAATGACACTTTTCTTGAAGGAAGGTTCTAGCACACAGAAGATGACAAGACACAGCTTAGGAAATGCCCTTGAAGCCAGGCAGCGGTAGCACACACTTTTAATCCCAGTAGTTGGGAGGCAGAGGCAGGTGGATCTCTGTGAGTTTGAGGCCAGCCTGGTCTACAAAGTGAGTTCCAGAACAGCTAGGGCTACATAGAGAGACCTGGCTTAAAACACTAAAAAAATTAAAATGAGCTTTATATAAGAAAAAGCAAGGATTTGTTCTTTCATGCCTAAGAATTCTAGAGCAAGTGTGAGAGCTGCACGAAGTCAGCAGGAAAGTTGCCTCTGTCATCCTTAGCTCTACATTCCTCCCCACCCCCACACCATTACCTCATGGTCCAGGAGGGGTGAGGAACATCCGTCATTGTGTCTGCATTCCAAGCAGCAGGATGAGGGAGAGGAACAGACAGGCAATAAGAGGGTGATCCACACATCTGAGTCAGCTTCATCTAAGTAAGTGTCTTGAAAATTCCATGTACCATAGCGCTTTCTGTCTAAGCAGCCGTGAAGGCATGGAAATGAAAGCCTTTAGCTGGGCACAGTGCTTCTGATGAGCTTAGAGCTTCAGAGTTAGACGGAAGAGCAGAACAGATGTCACTCCGTAACCTGGAATCTCAGTCCCAGTCCCTAAGCTTAAACTGTCAGGAAACACGTGCTCCAACATACACCCACATGCACATACATACACACACACACATACACACACACACACACACACACACACACAGTCGCACACACAAGCGCCTTTTCTAAGTTAAAAATCAACAGATCTGTACAGGCAACTGCCTTTTGCTCTACACCTCAGAACCCCTAGACAAAGGGGCTAGTGACCAGGGTGTTCTTCTCCATGGAGAGTGACAAGAAGTTATGGGAAGGATCCTATCCCTTCCTCCCCTGCTCATTTGTATTCACAGGATGGGATCAGATAGACTTCAGCCTAGACAAACTGCAGTTAGCAAGTGGGCATCTGTCACGAGGCTGGGTGATTTTTACGAGAATGGGTGCTGACCTTCTTGTTGAGTGTCATGTAGGGCCTCGAGGGCCCTGCCAGTGCTGATCCTGGCACTGGCAGCCTGGATCAGCCCCTGTAGGTTAAGAACCCTGTCTGGTGGCCTGCAGGCTTGTGCATTAGTCTCTAGAGCTGGGTGAGAGAAGAGAGACCCCTAGTCCTCCCACCCTTAGCACCCCCCCCCCCGAGGCTGAGAGCCCCCATAGCCACACCGCAGCGTCTTTCCTGTGGCTGTGGGAACCCCCACTGCCTTGGATTCCCTGGTTAGGGCCTTCTCAACACTGCAGGTTGGTTTTCTGTTCAATTGGAAGTCTGTGAATGTAGGCCAACCACGATAAGGAGAGGTGGGAGGGCGACAAGGAGCCCTGCCTTTTGTTTTCTGTTACCTTTCTGACTTGTTTAACTCTCCCAGGTCTGTTTCCTTAGGTAAAATAGGAATGGTAATCGCAGCCACCTCCCAGGGTGAGCGGCTTGAAGGAGACAGCACTTACCACAGAGCCTGAGCACAATAGGCCCTCACTAAAAGACAGTTAGGTCTACATCTGAGAAAACAGAATGAAGACAGATAGCAGGGCCCTTTGTGAGCGCTGGACCCCTGAACAAAACCTCTTCTGACATGAGAGAAATTTGCAACTCTGGCATCTTGGATGGCATCCCAGGAAGGGATGGGCACCCACTACCACAAGCCAGCCCTAGGCAGAGAGAGCTGGCCCCAGAGGACCCAGGCCCCTCCCCATCGGAAGGTTGCAGGCCCAGCTCAGAGAGCTGATTCACATTTTGTCCTGGGAAACGCTGCACTTGGAAAACATTATTGATTCTGTGGCTCAGGCTGCAAAGCAGGAAGAAAGACTGAATTTCATTACCTAAAGCATTTATGCTTACTGTCCGTATGTTCTATTTAAAGAGGCACTTGGCAATCGTTTTCATTAGTGTCTCTTCTGAAAACAGTTGTGTCCCCATCTTACAAAGGCAGAAATGAGAAGAAATAGCTGGCTAAAGAGCACACGGCCAAACAGCAAAACTTAGAGATCGCGGCTCTCAAGCTTCTTTCGGCTTGCTTGACTAATCTGCTCCCCTAGTGCCTGCAGGGGCCTCTCCTGTCTTGTCACATTCACCAGGGAAATGCAGACCATCAGACTAGGCCACAGGACCCTGTGTCCTCCCAGGACCAGAGGTGGACATTCTGTGACCAGCCAGTCTTCAAGTAGGGTGTTAGGACTTTTCCACGATCTGTGTCACAATGCAGAGCTCTGCACACTGGACTTGGGGTGTGTGGGGAGCAGGGAACAGAGAACTAGCCTTGTGTATCCTCCGACCTCAGAAAGAAAGAAAACTGCGGCTGAGCATGAGCTCATGGATTTGAGGGAGAGGTCGAGGTGTAAACAGGAAACAAATCCGTGGTCCAGGTAAGTCACTGTGTCTCCTGGCATCTTCTATGTGTGGCACAGCTGCCTCCCTCCGACGCTTTCTACACCGTAGCTCTTGACCGTGACTCCAGGAGGAGTGGGTATGGCCACAGCCCCATTTTCACAAGAGCTAGGACTTAGGTAAATGAAGCCCCAGATCCAGAGTCAAAGTAGCTCAGAATCTCTGCCAGCCTCCCCTGTGGAATATTCTGAGTTTCTCAAGATGATGCTGGGCCCAGCTCTTCTCGGAGGAGGCCTGGCCAGCTTCCAGACAATTCTAGTGCAGCACTGGAGCCAGAGCCATGCTGCCCCCGAGCTGGGGACCAAGGCCTTTGATCACAGCAGCATGGCAACCTGTCCTGCTACCAGGAGAAGCATTCTTGTCACGTGGCCCTCCGAGATGGGTCAGTCTGTAAAGAACAGTGTTTAGTGGCTGCACTGCACAGAGAACATAGTGAACCTAGTAGGCCTGATTGCAGAGAGAAACTAAGAAGGCAGGTTGTGGCTTCTCAGTTGCTGAAACAGACACCCGAAATAACCCCAGCCCTCAGGCCTGACCTGGTACCTTCCTTGTTTCAGGAAGGAGCTTTATCAGATTGCTAAGAGCACATTTCAGTTCTCTTTATTATGGCCCCCTCTGTGTCCTGAGGCAAGGCCTTTCTTCTCTCCTTTTGAGATAAACCCAAGGGGTCAGTTGTCTGTAATAACTCAACTGACCCAGCACGAAGACCACCCGTGGGACCTGGCTCTGCTGGGGTGTTCAGAGAAGGAAGCTGATCTGGAGCCTTTGCGATGTGCATGCAGGCATCTGTTACATGTTCTTTAGCTGCCGGGCAAAAACCTCTGTGTAGACACAACCATCCATTGTCAGCTTTCAAGACAGGCCTCAGCAAGCAAGCAGCTCGGTGGGAGGCTCCCTCAGTCAGCTCAGAAAGTACGGCCTGCCACCTGACCTCAGCGATCCATGTGATGCGCTCTTTCTGTTCTCTAGAGTCTGTTGGTCCTTCTTAAGGCCTTCCCCTGCCTACTGGGGCTTTCCGTAACATAGGTGGCAAGCCCATTGAGAGGCTAGGAACCCCTAGAATAGAGCTGGCTGCTTAGACACCCTAATATCACCCCCAGTGTCTTCCAAGCCTGAATGTTCAGTGCTTGACTCTGCCGTTGGAACTCTGCCAGACCTCTCATAACATTTGAAAACAGTCATCGAAAGCACCAGATGACACAATTTCCCTTGGAGATTGGGAAATTATGACTGGGATGATGGCATATTTCTGGAACCCAGGATGGATGGCCTCCCAGACGCCAACATGCTCCCATCCCACTTCACTCAAGCAGCTCAACTCTTTCCTGTGTTACATACAAGGTCATGTATGGAGTTCACTTGAATGAGAGCTCCATTGCTTATTATCCTCCACCTTCTTGTTATACAGCTTTTTAAAAGAAGAAACATCATGCCAGGCAGTGGTGGTGCACACCTTTAATCCCAGCCCTTGGGAGGCAGAGGCAGGCAATCTCTGAGTTCGAGGCCAGCCTGTTCTACAGAGTGAGTTTCAGGACAGCCAGGCTACACAGAGAAATTATGTCTCAAAAACAAAAAAACCAGGAGGAGGAGGGAGAAGAAGAAGCAGAAGCAGAGGCAGTGTGTTGTTATGTTGGTTGATTTGGGTCCTGGGGACTCAGGGTATCAGACATGCTAAGCAAGTGCTCCCTCCCTGAGCTACATCCCAACACTAAGAAGTCAAGCATGAAGAAATGCTGGGCAAGTCAGTCAGGTCTCAGCTGGGCCTCTCTGGATGAGTCTGCATCTTGGCAGCTCTGTCTCACTGACCCTGGAAAGAAGATTCATGACCTCATAATCTTCCCCAGCTCTTGTCTTTGTGACAAAGGAGGTCACTATTTAAAATATTGACCTAAGGTAATAGCCACATACAGGGATCCAACATAGTTCAGAGTTAGAATAACATGAAATCAGGGCATAGATTGCCTTCCAAAACAAAAAGGTCATCTTTTTCTTCCACCACAAGCTCCCTGGAGGCCCAGGAAGAAATGGGGGCTTGTGAGGCCAGTTTACTCTGCTCTGCTCATCTGTGGGCAAGTGACCCTGTGGCTACGGACAGACCAAAAGGAGCATCTCAACCTGTTTAGATGGTGGCCTCTTTTACAGTGAAACGTGAGGCCAGGGCTCCCAGCCATCATTGTCCGGAGAGTTCCCAGGGAGGCTTCTGTGCTGTGCCCTGGATGCCCATCGCAAGTGCCCTGGCTGGTCCCATCCCTGGGCTCTGCCTCCCCGAAGAGTCCTGTTGCATCAAATGACTGTTAACATTTCCTTTCACGGCCTTTTCAAGCTGCTGGGTGAGAGCCAAGTAGCAGCTTCGCAGGGTTCATTCACCCCAGAGCGGGGAGCTTTTCAGCGCTGTGGGAAGGCTGTGTGTTTGCAAATCAGCATAGTAGGGCAGAGCGATTTGGAAGCCATTTCTCAGTTCATCACACTCCTACTCACTGGGAAACTAACCCTGCTATGTGAAGCCTGTCTGGAGTTGTGACACCCTAATGTCACTCATTTCATCTCATCAAACACCCACCCCTCTTAAAAATGCCACGAGGCATGTATTTATGTTTAAGTTAAAGGTGAATTAAAGTTGGAAAATTCTGGAGAATCTTCTGGCAGTGCACAGAGAGATCTGGAGATGAGCGCTCTACCCAGGGAAAGCATTTGACCAAACTGTGAAGTAGGGGGAGTTTGATGTTGTGGTAGACCCCCAGCGCTACCCCCAACTTAGCCTGCGCTTTCACAGGCTGTCTGGTACCTTCCTCTTCCATGGCTGTCACCAAGAACTGGCCTTCACCCCTGCTCTGAACCTCCTTCCTCTCAGCTCCCCTGCTAACTCTCAGCCCAGCTGCAGCTTCTCCTTGGGGTGGGGTGGGGTGGGGTCTCTTAGAGACAGTTCTTTGGAAAGCTACTGACAACTAGGAGTGCTCAGAGTGATGCTATTATTTTTGCAGGTTTCATCCTTCCCAGGGATATGTGCAAGTTAACTAGAGATGATGCCCCCCTCCCCCACAAAAGTAATTTCCAGTGACGCGTCAACAGATGACAGGCTGAATGGAGGGGAGAGGGAGAGCAGCCTGGTCGGTATGGCAATGTATGCACTAGGTATGCAAATCTTTGCTTGGGACAATACAAAAGACAAGGGTTCCCTTTTCACTTAATCCGTTATTTACTAAACACCTACTCCATGCCTCGCCCTAGAAGCCCAAAGACAGATGAGACTGTGCTCTGCTTCATAATAAAGGTTTCCTGAGCAACACAGGCAAACGTTTCAGGGACATAAACGCCAGGAGAAGGGGTCTGCATGGAGAAAGCCGCACAGGATTAACACCCTCACTGTACTTTATCAGCTTACCTGAGACACCTGTGTAGGCCAAGCTGTGTTCGAACTCGTGGACCTCCTGCTTCAACCTGCCAAGAAGCTGGGCTCTTAGGTGCGCACCACCGTGCAGTAACTAGGCTTGCATTGGCCTTTAAGGATGAGAGCTTCACCAGGCTAAGGCTGGGCCGCAGGTGGCGCTCACTTCGGTTTGGATCTCGAATGTCCTGCGAAGATAGGGAAATGGTAAATCTTTCAGGTGGGGCCTGGTGAGAGGTCTTTAGGTCATTGGTGAATGATACCTTTGATGGGAACTGTGGGATTCAGGCCCTTTCTTCTTTCTTTCTTCTAACCACGAGGTGAACAGTTTTGCTCCATTATGCACTCAGCCATCAAAATCTGGCCCCTCGCAAGAAACTGCAAAAAGCAATGAGTCTGTCCAGCCATGGCCTGGAACCTCTGCAACTGTGAACTACATTAAACCCTTCTTCACTTTTGTTTGTTTTGAGACAGGGTCTCTTTGTGTAGCCCTGGCTGTCCTGGAACTTGCTCTGTAGACCGGGCTGGCCTTGAACTCACAGAAATCAGACTGCCTCTGCCTCCCGAGTGCTGGGATTAAAGGTGTGTGCTACCACCAGTTCAAGTAGTGAGAATTTTGGTTTCTTTAAGAAACCAGTTACGTTACATGAATTTGTTTTAATCCCAGGTGTGGGATCTGAGGCTGCTTCAGATTGTCCACAGCAGCTGACTATAATTTGACTTGTGCTCTAGCAGGGGTGTGATTTTTGACAGATACAGATCGTTTACGTTTGGGATTCTGGGGACTCTTGAGAGGATATAAATTTGAGAGCCCAGAGAGGGCCTGTGGCGGCTGCTGTTCCCTCTGCCTTTGCCCCTACTGCTGCTGGTTCTGCTGCTGCTTTTATGCTCACTGGAGATATCTCGTGGAGGAAAGATCATATTTGCCCCCAAGGAAATCAACACTCCTAATCATCAGGAAGTAGTCTAAAAAAAAAAAAAAAATCAATGGTCCCTCTCCCCTCTATTTTTCTTTCCTGTCTACCTAGTATTGAAGGGTTGGAAGGGATTGGGCTGGTGAATATAGGAACCCAAATAAATTAACCAAAAGTATGGCTAAAGGCTGGCATCTATTTTTTAATTTTTTTAAATTATTTAGAAAGGATCTCTCTATGTAAACCAGGCTTGCCTCAAACTCATAGAGATCTGTCTGCCTCTAGAGCCTTAAACCTTTCTTCTTTATGTTAGATATCTCAGTTTTCTTTGTCACAGTGACAGGGCCCTAACACATGTCTCCAGTGTCTTAAGCATCTATGGAACTGCCTGAAGTTTTTCAGATCTCTATTCAGGAGGTCACTGCCTTCTCCCAGGTAAGAGACAAATGACACTTCATCTAGGGCTCCAAGATGGATAGAAGAGGAAAAGGGTAAGAATGAAATGGGTGCAGATAATGGGATGCTTTGAAATGGGAGTGAAAAGAGAAGTGACAGATGACAGTTCATGCTGTCATGTGATACGATGACAGCTTTAGCTGAAGATAGGAATTATGGGAGCAAGGGCCATGGGAAATAATAAGCTTGGTCTGGGGCCTCTTGGTTAAGAGACCAGGGTGTGGAATGGGGGGGGGCATGGTTGATGATCCTTGTCCAGTGTTTACGTTTTTGGTCTTAAGAGAACACCAGGTGCTTGTCTGAGGCAGACTGATATCCATCTCTGATCCGACTCCTCCTCCAGCACCATCATTTTCCCAGCAGACAACAGAGCACAGATGTAGATAGCGGAAACCAGAGATCTGGGGCATTACTGCCATTAACCAAAGACAAAGCAGAAGCATCCAGAAGCTCTGGTCAGCCCTTTTTATGTACAAACAGACTTCCCCATTTTCCTAAAGGGCTGGGTGTAGTTCCATGGTAGCACACTTACCTAACGTACATGAAACCCTGGGTCCATCCCTAGCAGTGCGAAAGTAATCAGGTAAATGTTAAGCTCGCTTCCTGCCACTGCTCAGTATCTTCTCTCTCTCTTTCTCTTTCTCTCTCTCTCTCCTGTGTAACCCAGCTGGCCTACAACTCACCACTCCCCTGCCTCAACCTCCCTCCTGGGTGCTTGAATAACAGGCTTTCCACACACAACCTCCTCCCACTCATCTCTTGTTTTCGATTTGTTTTTCTCAAGTAATATCTTTGCTTTGGAAATTAATGTTTCTTTCAAAGCAAACCGGAGACTTTCTTATTCATTTTCTCATAGACACTGTTGAGTGAAATTCGGGGTCATTGGCTGAAGGGAAACAGACTAGGACTCTGCTACTGAGATGAAGGACTTCAATAATTTTTTTGTATCCTGTTTGCATAATTCATCAGAAACCCTAAAAATGTTGGTGCTCTCTCCCATGTAACTTCACAATTATATAAATGTGTACTTCATATTATTGCAGTGAAAAACTAAGAAATTAACTAAAAATGCCAAAGTGAAGGACTAAATGAATTTAAATGATCCGTAAACTAGAATTTAACACAAGTGCTATAAGAGGCAGAGGCAGGCAGATCTTTGGAGTCTGAGGTTAGCCTGGTCTACATAGTGAGCTCTGGGCCAACCAGATTTACTTAGTGAGGATCTGTTTTAAAACAAAACAAAACAGAAAAAGAACAAAAACCATCAACATTGTCTGAAAGCTACAAGGACACTCAGTGTTTATTAATTTAGAAAAAAAATGGATTACATGAATGTATTCTGTGTAATTTTGAAAAGATCTGAAGACTAAGCAAAGTGTGAATGGCTGAGACGACAGTGGAAGGCTGTGGTTCCGGTCTGCTGCTGCTGCTTCTCCAGCAGCCCTTCATATCGGCAAGCAGGGCACTAAGGCCAGCCATTCTCTCAGCCAGGGCTGGACTGGAGAACAGGGAAGCCCTGAAACAGTAGCTAAGCTGGAAATGGGGCTCATAAATTATATTTTTCAAATATGCAAGCACCCTCGGGGGATTCTTTGAAACAGATAATCACATAGGGAGTCTTATAGCAGGTTGTCTTATTATGCATTCCCAGCTTTTCCTGCAACCTTAGGTCTGAAAACCTTAGATCTTCATTCTCTCAGGGGGAAAAAAAAAAAAAGCCTACGGCCTCATTTCTTACCCTGAAATTACTGTGATTTGTAGAATTCCACCTCGCTCCATGCCGTGCCGTGCCGTTTACCTTCTAACCCAGAAGCACTGCTGCAGGAGATAAGGAGCCTTCCTGATGACAGGGGTCATGTGAGGGCCACGGGTTCTGGGAATGACGAAGAGCAGCCGAAGACAAAGAGGTTGCTGGGAGACAGACGCCAGAGCATGGCCAGATCAGGTTGCTAACTGCATTTGCAGAACAACATTCTGTTCTCAGCCGAGCAGCTGCAGGGCAGCAGGCACGAAACAGACACTGACCAGGGTGATGTGCGCGCCCAGTCAGCCTTCCAGCTACTGGGCCTGGGTGGGCTCCGCTGGCCTTGTTTTTTCTCAGCTGTGAGACAGACCACCGTGAACTGTATCCGTCTAACTACTTCCTCGCCACCCCACCATCCCTCCACTTCTCTTCACATCAGAACATCCCAAAGGAGTGACCAATACTCTCTTTGAAGCACTCTCCACCTAGCCTCTGGTTGTCACACTCTAGTGAAACCAACGCTGTCTAACACTGACCTTGGCATAATTTAGTAGAGTTGGAACTTTTTCCTCCATTTATTTGTTTGTTTGTTTGTTTGTTTTGAGATAAGGTCTGCACACAGCCCTGGCTGTCCTGGAACTCACAGAGCTCTGCCTGTCCCTGCGTCCTGAGTGCTGGGATTGTAGGCATACACCACCACATCCAGTCCCTTTTTTCCCTTCGACACACTTTATTCTCTTGTCCTCTAGGGCCTTTCCTGTGCCTTTCATGTCTCTCACGTGTCACCTCGGCTCTCCTCTTTGCTAGGTCGTTCCTTCTGTTCGCCTTCCTAAGGATACACCTGGGATTCGCCTGCCTTCTCCCTCTGAATTTCAGTGTCTCATCTACACTCAAAACTCAATAACGTCTATACTTCCAATGATTAGAATTTATCTTTCCAGCCCCCCCCAAGCCCCTGAAATCCAAACTGCCATATCTGACTGACTCCTTGACATCTTTTAATTGAAAGTCTTTAAATAAAGATTTATCATTATTTTTAAGTGTATGTATGTCTCTCAGTGTGTGTGTGTGTGTGTGTGTGTGTGTGTGTGTGTGTGTGTGTGTGCAGGTGAGTGCAGAGAGCACCCACAGAGAGCAGAGGCTTAGGGTACTCTGGAGCAGTTGTGACCACTTCATGTATGTGCTGGAAACTGAACACAGGTCCTAAGTAATAACAGTATGTGCTTTCAACTGCTGAGCCATCTCTCCGGCTCATACTTGGAAGTCTTAATAGACATCTAAAGAATTAGCCTCCAGGAGCCAGAGATTTAGATGACTGGTAGAGTACATGCTTAGCACGCTCAAGATCCTGGGTTCAGTTCACAGCAGCCAAAAACCTATGGGCACCTGGACGAAATCAAAGTCTGTGTCCATTGCCAGCTTCCGCCCTGCTGTCAGCATTCCCTCCCGCCTCATTCCCCAAGTTGCTGAGAACAAAAACGCTCAGCTCCCAGCATTCCACCACACTCCACCCTTTGTCTATCAGAATCTGCTAACTTGACCTGTAAATGGACCCAGAATCAGGATGGATATTACCATCTTCATCCCGTCACCCTGGTTTGAGCCACTGTCCAGTGTTACTCCGACCACTGAACTCTTCTTTTTTTTTTAAGATTTTTTTTTTTTATGTATATGAATGTTATATCTTTATACACACCTGCTTGCCAGAAGAGGGCACCAGATCACATTATAGATGGTTGTGAGCCACCATGTGGTTGCTGGGAATTGAACTTAGGACCTCTGGAAGAACAACCAGTGCTCTTAACCTCTGAGCCACCTCTCCAGCCCACCACTGAACTCCTAACTGACCATCTTTATGACCATGTTTGTTCTTCTACCCAGCACCACTTTTATTGATTTCAGTGTTGGGTGTTTTTCAAGATGGCAGCAAGAATGGATCTATGATATCTGCGATATTTGTGTATATGTGTTTGTGTGGTGTGCGAGTGCACATGTGTGTTTGTGTGGATGTAGTCATGCCACCGTTCACGTATGAAGATCAGAAGCCAGTTTCAGGTGTCAGCCCTTCTCCTGTGTCTGAGACAGGCTCTCTGCTGAACACACACAGGCTTCTCAGGATGCTCCTGCCTCTGCTTCCCCACCTGCTGTAGCAACTACAGACACATGCTGCTTCGTCACATTTACATAGAAGGCATTTTACCGGCTGAACCATCTCCCCAATCTGGTTCTGCCAAATTCTCAGCTCCATCATCTTTCCTTATCTTTGCCCCGTCAGAGTAGAAAGCAACCTCCAACAAAGGCCCTCAAGGCTCCCCATGATCCTGTCCTCTATCATCACTCTGATAAGTTTTCCCAGCTCTGTCCTAATCACCATCACTCCATCACTGCAATCCCTCCAGTTTTTCTTGAGCAGGTTGACATTCCTGCCTCAGGGCAAAGGACAGCTGCCCTTTTCCTAGGATGCTTTTCCATTTTCCTTCTTCCAGGCCTTTGCTGGGACACGGCCGTGCAGGTAGAGCTCTTAGAGGCAGCTCTCAGATGGAGGATGTTTGTCCAGAATGTTAGGAGTCATGCTCTGTTAGGGGAAGAGAAAGCAGGACTAGACTGTGAAGCCATCTCAATAAAGCTGTCAATCAATGCTGCACGTATACCTCATGTTGGCAGGGACACCTTGAGTTAGGTCCAGGGGGTCTGACTAGCCTGTCTCTGAGTCAACCAATAGTTGGGGTTGGGGAGCTGAGAGCAGCCTGAGGGAGGGATGATGGTACAACTTGGCAGCGGGCTGCCAGACTCCCCAGCAACCGCTGGAGCCCATGTGGCTTATCACAGATCTGCTGCAATCCACCTGCTGTGCTGCCTAGATGCGCTCTGGGGGAGTTCTGGGAGCAGCTCCTTCAGACTTCGGTGGCTTCGCTCCCAGGAGAAACATCTGTCAAGAAGGTTAGGAGGGGGAACTACAGCCGCTGACGCTGCTGATAGTCTCAGGGCTAGAGCTAACCTTCAGTCCCCCCCCCCCATTATCAAGACTAGAGTCCCCTCACTCGAAATGCAGCTTTCTTCTGCTAGGTGACTTGCCTGGTGACTTGCCTGGTGACCCCGGAGGAGCCCTCACCTCTGAGGGTCTATCCCCTGGTCACTCCATCCTGCCCAGGCCACAGCTGCTGCACTTGTTCGTCAGCTGTCGATCGTGAGGGAGGGAGGATCAGGAATCACCCGAGTAAAACACCTGATAGTCAGACATGTTCTTCCCTGTCCCTGGCATGGCAGCCTCACTCTCTTCTCTTATTGATCAATCACTTCTGCAGGTAGAGTTAGGTCATAAAGTGTCCCCAGAAGGCTGATGTGTTGAAAGCTTGCTCCTTAATACAAGTGGCATTCCGAGGTGGGACTTTGGGGAAGTTCTGACTGTCTGAGTGAACCGAGCCATTCAAAGACTATTGGGAGGTGGTGGAACTCTGGAGGGTAGGGTCTGTCTTCGAGAAGTGGGTCATGGGAGCAAGCCTTAGAAAGATAGACCTTGTTCCCGGCCCAGACCTAGCACTCTGTCTGCTTCCTGGCCACTGCGAGGTGGGCATCTCTCCTCCCCTCTGCCCTCCACTAACCCATCTCTACCATGACGGTCTGCTCAGCCTAGACCCAGAAACATGAAGCCATGTGTGGTGCTTTGAATAAGAATGGTCCCCATGTATTTGAATGCTTAGCCACGAGGGAGTGGCACTATGTGAAAGGATTACAAGGATTGAGAGGTGTGTCCTCGTTGGAGGAAGTGTGTCACTGGGGGGTGGGCTTTGAGGTTTTCCAAAGCCCAGAGTGCCTTTCTGGATCCGGATGTAGCTCTCAGCTACTGCTCCAGCACCTGCCTGCGCGCCACCACACTCCTTGCCTTGGTGATAATGAACTAAACCTCTGAAACTGTGAGCCAGCCCCCAATCAAACACTTTCTCTTATAATAGTTACCATGGTCACGGTGTCTCTTCACTGCAACAGAACAGTGACTAAGACATCTAGTGGCCATAGACCTAAACATCCGAAACTGTTCTCCAAAATAATCCTTTCCTGCTTTTACAGTGAGTTCTAAGGTCAGTGACTGAGACTCTGCTTGTTCTGTGATCCTCTTAATAAGCCCTCAACTGCCCGAGTAGCAGCCACGTTTTATTGCTCAAGGAGACTTTTCCTGTGGTTTCTGGTGGAAGGTTGTGTTTTGTTTTGGTTTTCTTTTATAAACAGGACTTTTAACCTTGCAGAGCCCAGGGTTGCAGGAAACACACACTTCCCCAGGTGCATGACTGAAAGTGATTCTAAGTCAAGTTGCTCTTGTTGCTACCTCTTGGTTCCCAGACTAAAGAAAACACTACCATCCCCAGAAGGCCTCCTGGTTGCTGCTTCATCAGGCCACCCCCTCATTCTCTTCTATGGACAGTATGATATGATGTCCTGGCGTCGGCCCTACATTTGTGTGACCTTTGCTCTGTTGCAGGTTTGCTGGTCTAATGCGATTGTGCTGGTTAGTTGGGTTTTTGTTAGTGAACTTGACACCAACTAGAGTCTTCTAGCATCGGGGAACCTTAATTCAGAAAATGCCTCCAATCCAATTGGCCTATAGGCAAGTTTGTGCATCATTTCCTTGATTAATGATTGCTTTGGGAGGGCCCAACCTACATGCGCAGTGCCAATCCTGGGCAGGCGTCCTGGGTTGTATTTTAAGAAGCAAGCTGTGCCAGATGGGGTGGCACATGCCTCTAATTCCAGCACAGGAGAGGCAGCAGCAAGTGGATCTCCGTGACTTCTAGGCAAGTCTGGTCTACATAGTGAGCCGCAGGCCAGCCCGAGCTCCATAGTAAGACCCTGTCTCAAAAAAAAGACCAAGCTGAGCATGCATGGAAGAACAAGCAGACAGCAGCTGTCCTCCATGGTCCCTGCCACTGCTCCTGCCCTGATGGACTGTGATTGGGTTGTATGTACACCCAATAAACCCTTTTCTCCCTGAGTTGGTTTTGGCCAGTTTTTTTTTTAAAGAAAATATTAATTTATTTTACGTGCATTGGTATTTTGCCTGTATGTATGTCTCTATGGGGGTGTTGTAACTAAAGTTA